AGACTGTTTTTCTTTGGAAGAGTCGCTGATTCTTGGACTAAAAAACCGGTCATTTTTTGGTGGGCGAGTAACCTTCACAACAAAACGAATCCTTGAAAAAAAAAAGCATTTTTTAACTAATTTCCACTTCATGCCTTGTGAAATTGAGGTCAGCGTCAGTTTGGGCTAATTTGCCCGGGATTGTGTTTTGGAGGCTGTCCACAGTATACTCCTAATGTAGCGGCCACATACCCACTGAAGCAGTGCTAGGCCCTTCCTGAACTCACTGTCGCCAACCATCAGTCGACCTCTCGTTGCCATGGAAAGTTTGTCGATTATAAGCAGTGCAGGCAGTATATCGCTTCCAATGGGGCTCCTTCATCGCGTGCCTGAAAGGATATTTTGCACGTTACTTTTCTAGCGGACTGCGCGATCGCGAATGTCACATGAACAGCTGGATGGTACTTCAAGCCTCCTCTGCTTCATCATTTTCACTATTTGTTCTTTCGCTTGCTTCGTCCGATTCTCCAACTAATCAACTAGCAACTTTTCCACTTGCTTTGACCAGTGTTGCATTATCCCCGACGTCCAGTTTGCCTCTTATGGCACATGTTGGCTCAAAAAAATTTTTTTGCTCAGAAGCACTTAACAAGGCCTTACACGTTTCGGTGCGTGTTGTGTATCACATAATCTAAGAACTGTCTTAGCAATTAGGATATAATTATCACGTATTGCGAATCACGTATAATAATTAGGGTTAATTTTTTCCCCCAATTTTGATTTTTGTGAATTTTTACGGGTTTTTTTTAGAAAATTTGGGGCACGTTTCGGTCACATTTATACTTCGGTTTGCGAGCTCGCCACGAATTGTCGCCACTTTTTGGGATGATGTGGTACCAACAACCAGGGGTGGACGGACAGATACCAAGGATACACCACTGGTGTGAGCAGGTAAACTTTTGACTTTAAGTACTTTTGAAACTGTGTAGCTGAAGTTATACGAATGACAATAAGCATGGGAATATTGGCATTTTCATGGGTGAAAACAGTTTTCGATAAAACTATGACTGAACATTATTGAGATGCTTTCCATATTTACTGTTTTTGGGAGTCCTAGACATTTGAAAGCAGCTGAAATGATAGCTCGCTGCCAGCAACCCCTATCCGACACTTTCTTTCAAAGGCTATTATAGAAGGAAACTCATGAATAAGCCAGTACCAGCTTAATATTGGAACGATAGAAGGATCGCTTTCCATCTGACGAAGTTTAACTATCACTTCAGCTTGAAAACAGCGCAACGTAGCCCACCAGCTGATTGCGAGGGCTTATTTTTTGATATCTGTAGAGAGACGTATTTGAAATTCAGGATAACGGGCCGTCCCGCTATGCATGGACTGTAGCAGATGGGCGTACATTTGGACGCCAGTCAATTCGCGATGGTTCAATGGACCTTTTTACGGATTGGCTCAACGATGGCCCCATTTGGACAGCGCGCATCACAACAAAATCAACCACTGCTTCCAATTATGCATTACTGTTCTATTTCGCTCTACAGGTATTCTTGAAATTGTGATTGGCAGATTTTGGCATGAAAATGGAGGCTCTTTGAGGCTGGCGTGATATTGAAAAGTCCCGAAGGCTGACTTTATAAGCAGGGAAATTTTGAATAGTAAGAAAATCCTAATAGTAGGGTCTTTGGCAATAGCAGTAACTGATCTAGAGTGCACTGTTTGACTGCAGCCCGTCTTTTGTGCAGGAGGGACGCTGAAATTGATCTTATTGAAGAGCAAACAGCTGTTAAAGAACCTGATGGAATGGGATGCGAAATTTAGCCAGAGAAGTACAAAATCCAATTGGAGAGGCACAAACTTTAATCAGCTTGACTTGTCATGAACGGAGCCTTTTTTCAAAAATTCTTCTGGACCAGGAGGGAATCGAACCACTCTTCTTCACGTTCGGATGCAATGTGTTACCACTACACCAGCGGTCCCTGTGCTCCAGGTTCAGCCTGGCAGCACATCCTGGCTTTTTAGGCAAGACACCTTTCTTTTCTCCTTTGTGGCAACTCTGTTAGTCGGCTTTTCGCAGATTTTCCGCGACGTGGTGCATAATTTAATTAGATGGCAAATAAACTGGTTGTGAGGTACTAATTTGTTTCCCAAGACGGACTGAAGTCGGGGTTTGTCAGAGTCGGTACAGCGATTCGAAAACAAAAGAAAAACGCTGTATCCAAGCAAATTGAGGTACCAAGACATTTTTTTTTTTACTGAACGATTTACTGTTTTACGAAGTTTGTTCACGAAAATCAAGGGGAAGTCCTTCCTCCACGAAGTTTGCTATAAGAGTAATATGTTGCAGTACAGCGCGTATTCTTTGTGAATGTTGGCGTTTGTACATTTTGAGTCACTTATTCTTTTTTCAGGATGAGAAATCGAAATTATATGCATTCTACAAAGACAACGAATTGGATTATTTTACTGGCGAATCAGAATTATTTGGCAAATTCTCTGTTAATTTCAGTACTTCAGCAGATTTCGCTTCGCGATCTTTTGTGGCACTGAAAACGATGGAACACTGGGATCTATCACAAATGAAGGTTTGAATTCCCTTATTAATACTACTGCGAAATTCAAAATTGCATTTATTAAGCCGATTTTAGCATCCGCGTCGATCTAGAGTGCCAAAGTAAGTTGAATTATTTCTTACTGCAATTGGTTCTGGCGGGGCAAATGAGATGCTTCAAGAGCTTAATACATGAAATAAAGAAGTGGACCTAAAATTCATCTCATCGAAAACGAAAGTAGTGCAGAATGGTGGTATTTCCACGGCCAGATTGCAAACAGACGATGTTATCTTAAAAAAAGTTGTCAGCTACGTCTGTCTCCAAATGGGGATTGTATGTGTATTTCACAGCATCGTTAATTTCTTCACAGTGTTAAACTAGAACCACTTGCTAATTTCTTCAGTATCACCATACTGAAGGCAGTAGCGCATGGTGCAAAAAGTGGCTACTGATGAAAGTAGAAAAGCGAACGCTGGCTGTTTGGAGAGGGGGAGCACCCTTTGCTCCATGGTGTTTAAACAGTAAGATTTTATATCAGATGAGAGATGTAACAGATATTACTGCGACTGCCCGTCAAAGTAAAATCCAGTGGACAGGGCGTGTTGCTCATCCTTGCCGACAATCAGTGGACATCGAGTGTTACTAGATTGGCAAGAAAGTAAATAGCCCCTCAAGCGGTTCCTGAATAGTAGCGCACACGCAGAGGACAGGCAGTGGATACCACCTGGTGGCACACACCTCAGGACGGTGAGCATCTGGAACTGCGTTCGACATCTGAGCGCATCCTGGTAGTATCATTAAAGTGGAATACCCTGGATATATATATATATATATAATTGGAAGATTGTGAAGTAAAAATAATTGTATTTTTTCTCAGGAACTGGCTTTATCGGCCACTGTAATTGATCGCCACCGTCGGATGCTACGGCTTCAAAGTTTGTATTTTCCTGAGGATTCGGTGCCTGAGCTTGAGCCGCGTTTGATTATGCTGCAAATCAATGTCCCGTCGAATTCTTCCACCGAAATTTCATTTTCTGTCGATGAAAAAGAGCCAATCAAAGGTTTGTAAAATTGTCTCAAATCATCCTTATTGTAGTGCGAGCGGTGTTATTGAAAGGAACACTTAAACCACCTCAGACAGGGTGGTGCACATAGCCAGATATTTGTTCTTGCGGGTGTTTCGATACATCCCGGTAATACCACTAACCCATATTCTCCACTTTAATCATTCGGGCGGTCCTGCTAAATCCTGGTGCTGTGTTTCTATAAAATTTAATTAAATTTTGTATTTGCTTGCATTTAGGAAAGAAGTTCTCGGAAATTTTGGAGCAGAGAGTGGAGGAGTTCAACAAGAAGTTTGAGACCACGTATGGATTATCAGCTAAGGTACGGCTTAACTTATCTGTATTTCACTCGGTAAAACAAGGTATTCAATTTCGGTTTTGGTCATTGTTTTTTGTTTTTTTTTAAACAGAAATTGATATTGGCCGTATGTACCAAAACGCAAAGTACATGCTATAGAGCGCAGAATAAGGAACAACATGCATTAAAAAAAAAAAAAAATGGCCAGCGCCGACTGCCGGTGCGAAGATGCGTTTTTTGCATAGTTTCCCGCAGTTTTTGTTGCTACCGGCACCGGTTTTTCCGGCAGGTGCTCCTAACTGAGAGAACTGAGACTGACCGCCAGGGCTGTTTGAAAACAACCCTTTAAAACATGTCTGAAAACATTCCTGCGCACACACAGACACACGGGCACACACGGACAATTCCTCCTTAATATGCGTCTTCTGCAATGCATAGCTGCAGAAAACGCATAAAAATGCATAAAAAAACGAAAGTGAGCCTCAGTACTCTGCGCGTTCATCGGCGTGGTCTGTAGCGGCAGATCGTCAACCGTAAGATAAGGGGCCTCAAGAATTGTGAGACATCTCCTGCTATACAATTTCACAGTGGTCGCACTGAAGTATGGATGTAGACGTCGGGTGATGGACGCAGATGAAGATATGCAAAAAATTCTACATGAGTCTGTTCTGATCACATTCAAAATTTTAGTACTTGCAGCTTACACCGCCAGGCAGCAGATCCTGTACTTGTTAGTGGATGTTACGGAGCATTTCAGATGAAAAGGGGAAAATCTCCCGACAGTAGTAGCATCAAAATTGAATTCATCAGACCCTGAGAGGTGGGAATTTCAGAAGTGCCCTCCATTCGGCCTTCTTTTGTTTATCCCCGGTATTTATCACCAAATACTTCAAAGGATCGTTGCCTTTCTCCCGTGGGCCACAAGTGATACACGATATTTGTCGTCAA